ACTCAAGGTCAGTTCAAAACCAGCCTGAACAAGAGCGAGATCCCGTCTCTACTAAAACAGAAAGAAATTAATTGGTGTACTAAAAATATATAGAAAAAATTATCTGGGCATGGTGGCACATTCCTGTAGTCCCAGCTACTTGGGAGGCTGAGGCGGAAGGATCACCTGGGCCCAGGAGTTTGAGGTTGCTGTGAGCCAGGCTAATGCCATGGTACTCACTCCAGCCTGGGCAACAGAGTGAGACTCTGTCTCAAAAAAAAAAAAAAAAAAGACTTTAAAAAAAAAAGAGAACGTGTAGACATAGATAACAGGTAAAATGGGCATTGGGCATGGCTGTGGTCTCATAAAATCTTATTTATAAAAACAGCGAATTGCCCAATGGGTCATAGTTTGCTGACCCCTGTATAGAGTAATAGAATCCTCAATTTCTTTATCTGGGCACTGCCTTACCCCAAAAGAAAATATTACTTTTCCATCTGTCTTGCAAAAGCTTGTATAGAACTTTTTGAAATTGTCTTCGAATGGAAAAGGTGCACTTTTCTTTGAATTCCTTAGTCCTCCCTATGCACTGGTATAGCTAAAGCTCCAGAAGCCACCTTGAATCCTTAATTGACTTTGGAAAAGGGAAGCCACACATCGTGGGGCAAGAAGGTAGACGGAGCCTGGAAGCCTCATCCCATGAATCACCATACTAACCCTAAACTGATTTCATCCATACTTCTTGAAAAATTTATGTCATGTTTAAATATTAGTAACTTTTATTTTGGAGCTTTCTCTTCATGCTCACAGCTGAACCTAATCCAACTACTGTAGTCCTCAAGGAATTAAAAAACAGCTAATGCCTCCTGGAAGAATCAAGTGGATGCCATAGGAGGCACAATCCTAAGTCTCTTTTTTTTTTTTTTTTTTAAACACCATTTCATTCTTAAAGCACTGGCCTTGTAACCTGGTGTCTACTTGGGTTCATATTTGTAACAAAATTGTAAGAAGATATATTCTCTATTAACCAATCCTGTGTAACTTTTAAAAAAATCAAATTCCATAAATATAAATACCATATCTCTTATCAGAACAATTCCACTGTGTACCAACTCCCTGTAACTTAGTACAAGTCCCAGGACTTAGCCCAAGTCCTGATCATTGAGTACACAGTCTGTTGTGGGTTTTCCCATGGGGCCAGTAGTGAATATGAGCTTGTGACTTCCTCTGTTCTGCAGGATGGAATAAACAGGGTCCTCTGGGTTTGCAACTTTTCCTTGGCAAGACTATAAAATAATGTCTGAAGAGCTCTAAAAGTGTCACAAACATCATCCAGATATCATGTTTACTTTGTTCATAAAGAGATACAGGATAGACTAGGGAGGGTGACTCATGCCTGTAATCCCAGCACTTTGGGAGGCTGAGGCAGGAGGATCAATTGAGGCCAGGAATCTGATACCAGCCTAGGCAACATAGTGAGACCCTGTCTCTACAAGAAATAATAAAGAAAAATTATCTGGGTGTGGTGGCATATGTGTGTAGTCCCAGGTACTTGAGAGTCTGAGGCAGGAGGATTGCTAGAACCCAGAAGTTTGAGGCTGCAGTGGGCTCTAAACACATCACTGCACTCCAGCCTGGGTGACAGAGTGGGATGCTGGCTCAAAAAAAAAAAAAAAAAAAGGAGAGATAGAGGACTGCAAAGTCACCATAACATACCTCCTCCATAAGGGTGTGAGGCATGAAATAGACCTAATGTTCTCATGATTCCCCCACTACAAAAAAGGTATCTCTGTGTCCCAGAGCCACACTCTGTTATGGACTGAATGTTTGAGTACCCTCTCAATTCATATGTTAAAGCCCTAACCCCCAGTGTAGCTGTATTTGGAGATAGGGCCTCTAAGAAAGTAATTAAGATTAAATGTGGTCATAAATGGTGGGTCTCTTGATCTGATAGGATTAGTGTCCCTACAAAAAGAGACACCAGCAAGTTCTCTCGCCCCCCACTCTCGAGCACACACCAAGGAAAGGCCACGTGAGGACACAGCAAGATGGCAAAAAGCAAATTGGTCAGAATTTTGATCTTGTACTTCTAGCTTCCAGAACTGTGAGAAAACAAATTTCTGTTATGTAACCCACTCAGTCTATGGTATTTTGGCAGCACAAGCAAACTAATACACACTCCAAAAGGATAGTGTGAAAAGATGTTGCTTCACACCATTTAAAACTCATCCTCTGATAAAATCTTCTTTAACACTGGCATGGTCATAAGCTGGCTTTACACAGTCTGGACCTACCTGAAAGTTAAAAACTTGACTCTTACTCTCATGGGTGATTTTTTTGGTCGTTGGAGGTTCCCTGCTGGGATGCCTGGATCCCAACTGCAACTCCTGAACACGTAGAATGACCAAGCATCTTGAATTGTCCAGAACTGAGGGGTCTCTGGGACTTGGGACTTTTTGGTACTAAAGGAGAGAGTCCCAGGAAAACTGGGACAAGTTGGTCATCCTAGTTGGTCAATGAATTCTATTCTTCCAGTTACTGCTCCCTTGACAACACTGGATTTTCTAATAACCTACACCACACAAATTCTCTCTGTTGGAGTCCCAGCTCCCTTCTAGGCAGCCATCTTTGCTAGACCCCAAAATGGCTCAGGCCAACTCTCTCTCTCAGGTGGCCCACATCTGATGCACAAGAAACACTGAGGCATCATCTGCCCTGGCAAACTATGGCAGACATGGCTAATTCTACCATAGCAACTCTCCTTCATTCCTCTGCCAAAATTTCTCACTGGCCCATCTCCTGCACTCTTGTGATTTCCAAGATGTGAGTCAGAATACAACTGTACCTCTCAAAACACAGGGAACACAGGTCAAGTTCTCTGATTATTGCCATGGAAGCCCTTCTCACTAGACTTGAAGGTGAATGAGGAAGCATACCAATGGCTCTCTCCAAAACTCCTCCTCTTGAAATTATTTCTTCCAAAATCTTTTAAGTCTTGAAACTGGTGAAAGTTTCCAATAATTGCAAAACCATTTCTTGTGGTTGCCAATACAAGGAGGAAAATTGATCAAAAAACTCAGATGCTTGCTGCACTCTGAAATCTTTGGTCACATCTGCATCTATGGGCTGCGCCAGCCAATGACTGAGTACAGAACAGATACCAAGGTGCAGGCTCATTCCTGGGAGGACTCCTCTGACGTGATTTTGGCTTGAGGATTCCCAGTGGCCTTTATGAAACTTCCTTACAATGTTTAACAGTCTAGGACACTTCGACCAACCTTGCCTCCCTCTCTCCCTCAAGAGTTTCAGATGTGCATCACAGAGTGCTGGCTCTCTCAGCCTTGCCCGAGTCCTGCCCATTCTCTCTCACAGGTGTTTTCCTCTAATAAAATTTCTGCACATTTAACTCCATCCTAACAACTACTTCTCAGAGAAGCCAGACTAATATAAAAATATTTCCTTTGAAAACATAAATCTTGCTACCACCTCACTTTGGCGTTTCACAGACATTGGATTGTAATGATGCAGGCAAAATTCCTAGCTCAATATTGTTATGCTACTAATCATAAGATGAATGAGTGATAGTATGGCAGAAGACTTGGGAAAATTGCGGGATTTTACTTTATACTTCTTGTTCAACCACCTCAAGTTTTGTTAAAATATGTGTTATTTGTATGGGCATAAAGGTAAATTTTTGGTAGAAATTATTAGGGATGCTGAGTATGTGAGTGGGAGCATGGTATATGTGAATCTACCTTGTAGAGGACAACCAGGTTTGTGTTGGGACTTGGATAAGAAGGTTGCTACGTGCTACCTTAGAATTCCAAAGTAACCTTAATCCCACTAGTTACCCCAGTAAATAACCCTTTATTCCTCCACATTACCTTCTTCTCCTGATCCTTTCTCATCTTTCTCGTCTACCTTCCCTCAGTATCTCTTATGCCACTGCTTGAGAGCCCAAGAGTTCAAGACCAGCCTGAGCAACATAGCAATAGTGGGAAGTACAGTATGGGAATAGAGTAGAGAATGAAACTTTATTTTTCAATCTGAAATAAATTGCTTAAAACTGTACTCTAACAAAAGCAGAATAAAACTTGTGTTTTATGCTTTTTGTCCAGCATTTCTAGTACTCTAATTCCTTACCCCTGCATTTGTTTTTGTTTTTAATTAATCTTTTATTTTCTGCAATTTTTAGAAGACTTTTGGTTGTGGCATATTTTTATACAAAAGTGTGTGAAAAACATCAATTTTTACTCATTTTATTTAATTTTTCCTGAGATTATAGAACCAAAATATCAAAAATTTTGTTAACTTGACTTACAAAAATCTAATGCTTTTCCAATCAAACAGGATTTCTCTATGAGGTATGTATCAAGGACTATCATTTGTCAAACTGTGATGACATGCCTTTGTCTTCATTATAACAGCAGGCAATTAAAAATGTTTTTGCTATGGTCAGTTTGCTTATTTTGGTCTTAAAACGATGTTACAGCAGATAGGAAAAATAGAAAGCAGAAAGAAAAAAAATAAAATCACCCACTCTTTGATAACTATCAGTTAATGTTGATGTATTTCATGTTAGTGCTTTTTTGTATGCATAATTTGTTTTTACAAAAACATGACCTTAATGGCTATTCACAAATTATAATTTGAGGGCTGGTTATAGTTAACCTAGAAATAAGATCAAACAATAGATTGGTTTTCAGTCATATTTTAAAGAAATGGAAGAAAGAACAAACATAACTGATTTGGTGGAAAAGGCCAATAGTCCTTGGTCCTTTATTAACATATAGACTGCCACACTAGAAAAGAAATTTTTCTTCCTTGGGGCCACGGTGTTTTATTAGGAAATGGAATAAAAACTTCAAAACTAAAATGATCTTTTCTAATTTAATGAAAATTGTGTTAGTTTTTATTGTTTTCTGTGTGTGAGTTATATGCAATTTGAAAAAGAGTTCTCACAGCTCCCAAGGTGAAGAGTCCTGTGAGTCACATATGCCTCACAGGGCCCCAGGCTCAAAAGTAGTGTGAGTTAAATATAACTCCCATGGCAGTTACTGTGTTAAAGGCCAGAGACAGTATCTGATGATGGTGACAGGCCTCCAGTTGTCTGAGCAGTCCTAGATTCACAATTGTCTAACAGGAGTCAAAATGTTGCTCAGAGCCCAACAACCAATGCCAGTTTCCTCGGGTAACCAGTGCTGTGAGGACAGGGAGAACTCTGCAAAAGGCAAGGGGCACCAGACCTAACGCAATCCCAGGTCATCAGGTCAGCGAAGGTGGCCCACGCACACAGTTTGGCCTTGTATCCAGAGTAAGAGGCACGTGGCTGTGGGTTGGTCTCACTCCCTGAGCAACAAGACACACAGCAGAAGATGAACAAGTAAGCTAAAGTGGCTTACCAGGATGCCAAGAGCCAGGGGCTTGGGTCTTTCAAAATGGAGTCACCACGGAGGACGTGGTGTCTGGGTTGGACCAGCTCCACCAAATACTAGCTGTATGATCTTGGACAAACCACTTGCTCTCAGCCTCAGTTTCCCCGTGTATAAAAAGGAAATGATGAGTTTCTGATTGCAGGGACTGTTGTAAAGAAAACATGAAATGGCATGGCAACGCTGGTATTAAGCACAATGCCTCACTCCTAAACCTTGTTGGAGTCAGTTGGATGCAAGCTCCACGAACTCTCCCCGCCCCCGCCAGCTGCCCTGCTGCACACGCTTCCGGAAACCCCTTCACCGCAGTCTCCCTCAGCCGAACGCGGATCCTTCCGCGTCGCGTCACTTCCGTTAGCCTCTGGCTTCCGCTCTTCGAAATACCCGGATGCAAGAGTCATGGCTGCCATCACTGGGGACCAGCAATGGAGATCGAGCCCAGGGTTGCCCAGAAAGGCGTTCAGAGCCTGAGGCTTCAAGGAGGACTGTCAAGAGACAAAGAATGAGATTGCTGGGCAGCAGGGTGCCCCAGACAGTCCTAGGAGCTTCCTGTTAACTTGCGGCCAAGTTATTCTAAAGTCGCCCCTCTTGGCAGGGAGGGGCCTCACTTCTCACCCGCCCCTTCTTTGTGTGCTGAGTTTTTGCTTCCGTCACTTCCCGCAGCCCTGAAGCTAGGCGGGCAGTGGGGCGGTAGCCTGGGAAGGGCGGGCCGGATGCTGGAACAGAGAGAGGTGGGGCGCGCCGGGAACTCCGGGGCAGCTGAAGCTGGGGTGCCTTACTAAGTGCAGCCTCGAGCTGTCGCCCCCTTTGGGGCCTGGTTTCTGGTCATTTCAGCAGAGATACGCCTCACCGTGGGGCGCTCAGAGTTGGTCATAAGGCCCTTCTAGCTAACCCAACCACACACAACCACAGTTTGCCCTGCCCTTGATAGATTTTGATCCTAGAAAATGTCTATGTTCGGTACAGTGCAGTGATTGGTTTTTAAAAAATATCTCAAACATAAATATTAGGTTTGTTTCAAAATTAATAGGCAAAGTTGACATGTTGAGTCATGTGATAGTTTTAAGGTTTAAATTTATATAACATGTTAGTGCTTTTAAGATTTTAATGAAAGCATTATTTTAAAATAACTGGTGAGAAAAGATTAATATTTAAAATATTTGAACTTTGCTGCTGTGCAGTTAGTTGTAACACGAAGACATCTTATAATAAGGCTTTAATTGCCAAATGCTTCTGAAAATAAGGTAGTTCTATTAATTTGAGTTACTTTTCCTCCCTGCAGGATGTCCTGTAAGTTTTGTCACGGAGTGAAACAGGAACAAATGTGAGTTAATTTGTTAACCTTTCCTAGTAATTAAGATTATTTTTTAAATGCTTAACTCTATTGAATTCAAAATCTAAGTTGAAATATTTTATTTGGCTTAGATATATAAAATACAGAATGTTACTATTTTTGGAGAAATAAAAATGTCAAAAGTAATATTTAAAGCAGATTACATAATGTCTTCTAATTTAGATTTTTCACTTAAACTCTCAAAATTAGAAGAACTGATTAGAAAGGCTTAAACCTTTAAAACTTGTGGTTTTTGTATAGGGTTAATATACTATTATAAAGCAAAAATAAATGATTTGTTTATACATTTTAAATATTTTGCTCCTGGTGTTGAGATTGTGCTTATAATGTGTTTGTATAAGGTACTTATTTGATGGTCATAGATGGCTTGCATTCTTACTTTTTGCATGGTTTCTTGCAGGTAGGTTTGTTGGGTTCTTGGCACAGTAGTTGGACAAAACATTAAGGGGGAAATTTTTATTGTATTTATCAGTTCAAACATTTGACCACTCTATTTAGTTTTCTGGTATTTAGACAAATAACTAGATGTGGGTGTCATATAGTGAGCAATAGTTGTAGAGTAATTGGTGACCACTTTAAAAGTCCATAGCAAAGGATGGTTTTAATCTATTGACCTCTGGGTTATGAGCCAAGCACACTTCTGCTGCACTACTCTGCTGGCTTTTAAGTTTATGCTTATTAATCAAAGGCCTTTACGTTAGGAGAACTGAAGGAGAAGTGATATTTATAATTAAGTTTGGAGCAAATATATTCTTTGATTTAAAAAACTAAAACATTTTTAAGTACCTAAGTATTGCTTTGTACTACTTCAAAATTTGTTTTTCTTTAAAATTGTCATTATTTCTGTACTTTTTTCTCCATCTTTCTGTTTCCTTATAAATGAATCACATAGTAATCCACTCTCCCCCAACCCTGAATTTACATAGGCTGAAATCTTAGGATATATTTACTTTGCTTTGAATACCTTTTCCATATGTTTAAGACTTTATATCAAATATAGATGAGTTCAAAAATTTGACATTTGGAGAGAATCTCAGTGACTCAATAAAATCAGAAAGGCAAGGAATGCTTGAAAGGAAGACCAGAAACAACATTTTAAAACCCTCTCATTATATTATATACAGCAAAGATGAATTTATAAGCATCTAATTTAAACTCTAGGGTAAGTAAATTTTAAAAAAAGTTTTTAGAGAACAAGGAATACATTTCAACATATGAATTTTGGGGGAAAAAAGAAAATTAAGAGATAAGGAATACAAATGGAATGTTGCTAATTTAAGACATCATTGTTTTTAAGTTTGGTATATTTAAGGTAAAGGGTTTTACAAGTACACCAACAATTTTGTTCTTCAGATCCTGATTTTTTTCCCCTTGGAGGCCTCAACCATGACTTCTTTTAATATGGGATATTCAGAAATTTTATCCTACAAGTTGGTGAAGAAATATTGCATTTTCTTTCTGATCTTTATTAGAAAATCATTCTTTATAGTCAAATGCTTCATGGCCCATTTTTGCAGGCAGGATATTCTTTTTGTGCTCTGCTTCCTAATTTGGGGACTAAGAAAACCCTTTCATTTAACTGATGACATTTATGAACTGCCTACACAGGTTTAAGAGATAGACATGAAATAATGACTACATTTTTCCCCAGCCCTGGAAATCCCTATATGAGAGTGACATTTAAACATATACATGTGGTGAAGTATGACCCAGACTGTGGAGGAAGTATTTGCAGGGTAGAGAGTATTTGCCTTTGCTCAAGTGATCCTTTTCAAGAGCTGAAGAGTGTGTTTTAAGGGGGAGAGGGGCTTCATAGAAGCTGTGACACCTGGATGGCCAGGTTTCTTTGAGGAAAAACTCTCAACAGTTTGGTGGCTGTGTTTTCAACAGGAGTAGTCCTAACATTTTGGAAAGGGCAGTTTATCAGTGCACTAGACTCTCCTAAGCATCACGAAACATTTAGCAGCCTTGGATCTGTGGTCTTTTCCCACTAGCTTTTGTCAGTTGGAGTTAGGAGGAGCAGTTGGCATCCTTATTCTCAATTTTGACCTTTACATGTGCTCACACAACCTGACTTTATTGCTTTCTGAGCATTCCTGTAGCTGTCATTCTCATTTCCTTACATTGACTGAAGTCTTGGCACACGGCTTATAGTTTCTTTCTTTTCCCAAAGTCTCACCTGTATGCCAGGTCACTTCAAGTTATGTGTGGTTAATGCAACCAACATCCTGCCTGTCAACTGCTTGCTGCACCCCCCCCCCCAAATTTAGCAACCTTTACTTTTCCATGAAGCCATCCACCCTCTGAAATTTGTCATTATTTATGTCAGCTCTACCCTTAAAAACTATTCTTTGCCCATTTTTCTAGCTTTCTAACTGAATGAGTTCCAGTGCATCTGAACTTCAGCTTGGAAAACTCTTGACTCCCTGTCAGCCTCTGCATTTTAGTTCTCACCACTTCAGCCATTACACTCTTTTACTCTTTTCCTTCTATTGTACCTACCCAGTAAAACCCAACCATAGGTTGGAAATTATAATAATAGCTAACATACACAAAATGCTTATGTATTCCAGACACTTTTCTAAATTTGTCTTATTGTCTTTTTTAATCTTCATTATAGCCCAGTGAGACAGGCATTGTTATTATTAATATCCCCATTTTGCAGATGAGCAAACTATAAAGGTCAGTTTCAGTAGATGTTTATATGGAACTTCTCAGGAAAAAATAAAAATAAAATAAATTAAGCTCAGTTTTTGTCTACTTATTGTTACTAAGATATAAACCCAAGCAGTTTGCTCCTAGAAAACATGCTCTTTACCACGTCTTCAGATGGCTTTCCAAACCAGCTGTCTTCTCTGCTTTCACACTTGGATTGCTGAGCTGTTTTTGGAACAGAGTAGGTTTGGCTAGATGGAGAGTGTTGAATGCACTTGTCTTAGCCCTTGGCTCAGTAACTAACCCTCTTCGTAGGTCTCCAGCCAAGCCAGGAAATAGATAAAGAGGGAATTAACAATGATTAGGTATTTAATGCTACCAGCTGCTTCTGGGTTTCTGTAGCCAGAGGGAGGGGAAAAAGAGGGAAAATGAAATAAAGAAGATGCATCACTTTGGGGATTGAACTTGACTTGTTACCTCTGCCAGATGATCAGGAACCTACTGATTTTTAGAGATTTAGACTTGGCTTAATTGACAAGGGGATAGACAGGAAAGAGTCCTCTGTCTGTTTTGAGCAAACCACTGTAACTAGTCTTTACTCTGAATTTCTCTCTCTGGATGTCCCTCTTTTTGTTCTGGATTTGTTGACCCTCACATCGTCACTCGAAGTGACAGGGTAAAGCTTTTGAGAGCTGATTGCTTTAGTTAATAGGTCACCTGTGGTACCTTTTAAGTACAGTCATGCGTTGCTCATAATGGAAATATGTTCTAAGAAATGCATAGTTCGGTGATTTCATTGTGCGAACAGCGCAGAGTGTGCTTGCCCAAACCTAGATGGTACAAGCCTACGACCTGCCTGGGCTGTACAGTACAGTCTGTTGCTCCTAGGCTTCAAACATGTACAGCATGTTACTATACAGAATGCTGTAGGCAGTTATAGCTCTGTGGTATTTGTGTACCTAAACATATCTAAACTTAGAAAAGGTATGGTAAAAATAGGTATAAAAGATTTTTTTTAAAAAGGCACACATATATAGGGTAACTTGGTTATAATCTTATGGGACCACTGTTGTATGTGCTATATGTCATTCATCAAAACATCTATTATGCGGTACATGATGGCTATAGTTATTTTAGGGCTTTGTTCTGACAATGGTTTTTGTTTCCCTATAACAAAAAACCTTTCCCATTGCCATTCTTAGGTACTTAAAAGGCAAGCTTTTATTTTCTAAATATTTAAAATAGTATCAATAACTTCTTACCTTTAATCTCACAGATTCCCCATAATTTCTGCATGTATTAATAATATTTCATTGACTGGGCACGGTGGCTCACACCTATAATCCTAGCATTCTGGGAGGCCAAAGCAGGAGGTTCACTTGAGATCAGGAGTTTAAGACCAGCCTGAGCAAGAGCAAGACCCTGTCTCTACTAAAAATAGAAAAAAAAAATTAGCCAGGTGTGGTGGCATACACCTGTAGACCCAGCTACTTGGGAGGCAGAGGCAGGAGGGTCTCTTGAGCCCAGGAGTTTGAGGTTGCTGTGAGCTAGGCTGACTCCCCAGCACTTGCTCTAGTCTGGGCAACACAGTGAGATTCTGTCTCAAAAAAAAAAAAAAAAAAGTAATTTGGGAAAGATTGTTTTTGGCTTTTAACTTAAGAATGTTGGACACAAAGATAAGGGAATTAGCTTTGGATTTTAATTCTGCTGGGTTTTAACATTTTTGGATTTTGATTTGCAGGGAGATTTAATTTTGAATTTATCCCTGTAAATTTGATAATGGGAGGGGATTAAATTAATATTTAGATTTGGGCATCTCTGTTATTGGCATTTTATTATTGAGTCTTGGTGCTTTTAATATGCCAGGTTAGACTATGTATTAGGGTTCTCCAGAGAGAACAGAACTAATATGCTGTGTATATAGAAATATGACAAGAGATTAATTAGGGGCATTGGCTCATGTGATTTTGGAGGCTGAGAAGTTCCACAACAGGCTGTTTGCAAGCTAGAGACCCTGGAATGCCAGTAGTGTGGCTCAGTCCAAATCCAAAGGACTCAGGAAAGCCCATGGTATAACTCTCATTCCAAGGCTGAAGGCCTGAGAATCTGGGGGGCTACTGGTATAAGTCCTAAAGTCTAATAGGCATGTAGGCTGGAGTTCTGATGTCCAGTGATAGGAGAGGAAGAGTGTATTACAGCTCCAGGAGATAGACACACTCGACTTTCCTCAGTTTTTGTGCTCTCTATAGTTCAATTTTATTGCATTTGAATTCTTATACATACTTAGAAAGATTATGCCATCTTTGAGGCTATAAAATAATTCTTCCATGGTTTCTCTTTGGTCAAAATTTAAATTTTTTAAGGTATGGATCCAATTTTATTTCTCTAGGTAGCTACTCAATTGACCTAACTTGATTTATTGAATCATCCATGTTTTCCTCCACTAATTTAAGATTCCACATTTATCATATATAACAAGTTCCAAATATGTTTGAGTTTTATTTTTGGAATTTCTGTTTCACTGAATTGTCTGTTAATTTGTTTGCCAGTACCATTATGTTTTATTTATTGTATGTTCATAATGTATTTTAATATGTCATAAGGCTTGTTTCCCATTCGTTATTCTTTTAAAAAATTTTCCTGGTCATTCTTGTTTAGGTCAGCTAAAACAATTAGTTTGTGATATTATGTTAAATTTATAGATTAATTTAAGGAGATTTGACATCTTTATAATGTTTACTCTCCTATGCAAGAATATGACATGCCTTACTCATGTTTTCTTTTGTGTCACTCACAAGTATTTTAAACTTTCTGCATGTAGATCTTGTGCATTTCTTATATATATTGCTAGACCATCTTACTTTTTGTGGCCATTGTATTGAGTATACCTTGCATTAAATCTAATTGGTGGTTGTTTGTATATATGAAAGCTATTTTAATTATGTACCCAACCAATTTACTGAATTTGCTTATTGTCTATAATAGTTTTTCAGTGGATTATCTTGTATATAATCATATCTGCAAATAGTTATAATTTTACCTTTTCCTTTCTAATTTTTAAATTCTATTTTCTTTTCTCTTATTTAATTACATTGCATCTATTTGTACATATGTATTATTTCTTTTGTTTTTGTCTTTTATAATTCATTAATTTCTGCTTTTGTCTTATTTATTACCCTCTATTTTTGTTTGGTTTAGTTGTTCATTCTCAAACTTTTTCAGTTGGATGTTAAGTTTCTTCTGAGCATTGTTTTAGTTATATCCCAGATGTGTAGAATTTTCATTATAGTAATTTTCTAGATACTCTGAAATTTCAGTTTAGATTTCTTATTTGACCTAAAGATTGTTTGAATTCTTTGGTCCTATTACATATTTCTTTTTAGTCACATTTTCATGAGACTGTGTCTTCTACATTAATTCTACTTTCTGGAATTGATGGCAGTTTTTTGTGTGGATTGATGCATAGTCAAGTTTTGTGAAACTTCCACATTAGAGTTTGATATTATCAAAGAAAACTTACAGAAATATAGTAAATTATTAGTATCCTGTTTACTTGTGCACAGTGGAACCCAGTAATGGATTGATTTCATCTAACAAAGGCAAAAATGGGAGTGTGTGCAGTTTGTAAATTGTGAATTTTATTTTCTTGGGTGAGCTGCTGACTAGCTTGCAGCTATTAGCAAAGAGGCCAGTGAGGGTATTCACAATGTGCCAACAAAGAGCAATTTTAGTAGACTTTGAAAGCAAAGAAAGCATTCTTCATAAGACTGAGAATTTTGCTGTTGGCCTGAGTGTCAGGCTGTTTCTGTATGTCTGTCAGTGTCCTTTGTTGTCTCTTCCAGCTTTGTGATGCCAGGTCTGCACCATTTCCTTTCTCAGAATTCCTCAAGGTATATGAATGAGATCTGCCATAATGATATGCTAAGATTTTTTTGTATCCTTTTTACATCACTGATCTGTCATGGACCAAGTGAGATGAATTAGTTTCTTTCCTACCACCTATATTTTTCTTTTATTTCTCCTTATACCCCCTATAGTTTTTGCTTAATATTGCTGCTAAGTTACTTGATCCATAGAGATTCATAACTGTTTAGTCTTATCATGAATTGTATCCTTTAGCATTATAGAATGCTTTTTTTTTTATTTTTTTAAGTCTGGTTTAATACATTTGGCTTGACTACATACAGTCTTGTTAAGATCTTGATCCTTGCTTTTTGTTTGTTTGGGTTTTTCTGATTTCTCTTTACATATCCTTTGATCTTCAACCTTTCTGAATTATTTTATTTTAGGTCTAAGTCTTTCATACAATTATAGATTTGAGTTTTGCTTTGTGATTCAGTCTGAAATTCTTTTTCTCTTAATAGTTGAGTTCAGTTTATTTACTGATTTGATATGTTTAGACTTAGTTCTGTCATATTACTTTGTTATACTTTCTGTATTTATACCTTTAAAAAATATTTTAATGTATAGTTTGCTTTGTTTTTTGTATTTCTTTTAATAATTACAAAGACTTGTATTTTTGTTCCTATGGTTGCCTTTGTAATACAGATTGTATTATAGCCTCAGTTTTCTGTTTATTTAGCCAGTATCCTAGTATCTGTAACTCACTTTTATAAGTAATGATAAAATTAGTGTATTTCCTTCCCTGTATTTCATCACCCAATTTTATCAATTCTGTTATCTTTCTGTTTATCTTTGTACTATTAAATGTCTGTAAACCATTGTTACTTGATTTGTCATTATTACAGAAAGCTTCCTGACTCCCATCTCTTCTCATTAACCTACTCTGACACTGTCAATTTTCCTTCCTAAAATCACCTGTATCACATCACAAACCCTCAAAGGTATCTCTGACCCCACAAAGTCTTTCATTTTCTGCTGACTTTCAAAACCCCATAACCCAACCTTGTCCTACCCATTCAGCCTTATTTCTTTCACAGCTTCTCAGGGAGTCTGTCCTCACTGTCCAACAGTTGAGCTGAGCACAGGAGGAGGGAAGGGCTTCAGCCAGGCTAGGGCAGTCTGCTTTGTGCCAGTACTAAGAGTGACAACCCCCACCTGCTGACTGCCCTCATCACCAGCTTGTGGCTAAATTTGGGGTTTGTCACCATTCCACTTAAAATTCAGTTCACAAGATTTTCCAGGTACGCTCTAACCAGTACTGAATCTGAAGGGACTGTGCCTTCCTATGATCGGAGTACTCTAAGTCAGCCCAGGATGGCATTTTAGTAACCACAGCCCACTTTTGGACTGCATCAATTTTTTGAGTTAGTCCCAAAAGCCTATGATGTGCTATCACATATCATATCCCTATTACATGTAGGAGCACAAGATAAATCTCTGCCCTTAAGAAACATGTTGATTCTATGAAATGATCAAAGATCTTCAAAACTGTCAGTCATCACAAACAAAGGAAGTCTGAGAACTGTCACAACCCAGAGTTGCCTAAGATGATCTATTAAAGATAATGTGATATCCTGAGTAGGAATCTAGGACAGAAAAAGGATATTAAAGAAAAACTAAAGAAATCTGAATAAAGTATGGACTTTAGGTAATAATCATGTATCAGTATTGGTTCTTTGTGATAAATATCATCCCAACGTAAGATGTCAGTAAGAGGGGAGACTAGGTGTGGGGTATTATGAGCACTCACTGTATTGTCTTAATTATTCTGTAAATCTAAATGTTCTAAAAGTAAGAACTTATTAAAAAGGGAAAGAGTATGTTCTAGTGGGGGGAAACTAGCAAGTAAGCAAATATAAGACAGTGGCTTCCTCCAGTTTTAATCACAGATCCCTTTGAGTAGCTGACAAGACTTCATGGACAGAGGAAAACATTCACCTATAAATTGCATAGCACGTCAGGGACTTATGGACTTGAGGAAGTACTGCTTCCATTCAGGATGGTAATGCTCACCTGGAAAGCAGAGGGTGTTCAGGGAGCAAAGATGAAGAGTGGTAGTGGAGCAGGACGGTAGCAGTAGGTATCCTTCCCGTAGGAAACCTGAGCCTGGTCGTTATGCTGTTGATTGTACTTGTTACTTTTTAAAATCTAAGGGATATAAAAAATGGATGTTGAGTGATTCCTAAACTAGCACAGTGTTAAACTGAGTTCCAGGCTACACCATTCTAGGTGCTTCAAGTGTGCTAGTCATATTTATCAAACTAGATGTAAACTGCTTGAGGCAGCAGAGGCCAAGTCTTTTACCATGTGCTTGGGAAACATGTGGAGTTCAGAATCACAATGCAAAGCTCCCTTCCCAGGGTTTAGAATATTTGTTGTTTTTTCCTTTAAATTCAGCCCTAAAACACACTGTATATTACAAATTATGTTTATACTTAGGTAAACAGACCATTATCACTGTT